GTCAAAATCGAGTAGAATAAATGAGCGAATAACTTGGTTCAAAATCGAATTGAATAAATGAGCGAATAAATTGGGTCAAAATCGAATAGAATAAATGAACCAATAACCTGGATCAAACTCAAATGGATAGAAGAAGTAGTCTTGGTCAAAATCGAATAGGAAAAAAAAAACGAATAGTATGTGTCAAAATCGAATAGTCTGTATCAGAAAAAAAACAACAACAAAAAACAAAACAAAAAAAAACATGTACAAACAAAGAAAAAAATACAACAGAAAAACAACAACAAACAAACAAACAAAGGTAGTACTCTGTGTCAAAATCAAATAGGAAAAAACGAATAGTCACGTTTTTTTYCAAGTTTGTTCGTCTGAGTTTCGTTTTTGTCTTCGTTTGTATGATGTCATTTGCGCACAGCGCTGATTGAATGGAGGGATTGAGAGGTTTTCTTTTATAGAGGCTATGCACCATCCCATGATGGCAATCATTGTAGGATGCACAACGATAGAGACTTTCCCACCCTGGAAAACTAAATCCTTTCTCATGTAAATCAGTTTAGACCAGATTCAAGTGTTCCTGCTTCCTGTCATAGCTGCCATCACGTGATGGTGCAAAGCTTTTTATATGCATACTTGATTTGACAGCCGCTATGACAGCCATGGCATGAGGCACAACATTAGAGTATTCTCCCTTGGGAAACTGAAGTCTTTCTTATGTAAATCAGTTTAAACCAGTTTCAAGTGTTCCTGCCTCCTTTCGTGTTTGCCATCACGTGATAGTGCAAAGCCTTCTATATGCATTACTTGATTCGATAAAGTAACAGTCACTGACTTGTTCAATCACATTTCATTGATTCATTCTTTTAATAAATCACTTTAATGGGGATATTTCTTAAGTTTATGATTTTGTGATATTTATTATTTTGTAAAGGTGTATTTTGCATTTGCTTTTTATAATCAAATTTTATTGTCTCTTTTTTTAGTTTGAATATTCGAGTTTCATTTTGTCAATTTTGAATTATTTAATCAGTCTTCACTAGAATTGTCATTGAGTTAGTTTAAGCATTCCTTAATATTTTTTTTCTTTTTTGATTGCATAATCTAGGACCATACCTCCAGACCTAGTGCTGAAGCTCAGTATGGCAGCGCGAAGCATTTACGGCTATGCCGGAGATTTCGACCCCTACACCGCTATCCAGTGACTGATCAGGAAGCTCGGCCGAAGAGGTTGGAGGAGAGGAGAGGAGAGGAGAGGTTAGTCGGCTCCTAGACCGTAGATGATTAACCCCTTGTTATGACCAATAACGCTAATGACTTTTTAACAGTTGAGTTAGATCCTACAGTAGCGCTGATCAATGTGGGATGTGTTTTGGAAAACGCCTTCATGTAAGCAGCCCACTCTAACGCTATAGACCCCTTGCAGCACTTTGGAATGCAGCTCAATCTGGGAAACAAAACAATAAGTTCCAATTCTCAGAAGATGGAATTCTTTTGTTTTGATTCCCAAGATCGAGCTGCTTTGACGTCACATGCAAGGGGTCTATATACACTTATTTCAATAAAGTTAGTCACCAAAAAACCTAGAAAGCTGAGATCACTGAGGATCATGGGAAATTTTTAATATAAAACAAGTACTAGTAAAGCTTTTGATACAATTTGCAGCTTGAGGATGCTCAGAAGAGGTGAGACTGTAACTGGTAAAAGATCTAAAATCCATCAACAGTTATTAAAGCGGTTGAAACATGTAAAATGTAACTACCCATAATCCTTGTTGGTCTCAGCTTTGTAGCTTTTAAGGCGACTAACTTTATTGAAATAAGTGTATACGGTGCGTGCAACCATGTGATCGACTCAAAATCCCTTGGGATATGAATAACAATGAAACCTGCGCTATGTTTCATCATACATAAAAAGCTAATGAGGAATGCTTTGTTATCTTCATCTAAGATGGTGGTTATGACGTAACATGCACATGCTCGATAATTTAAAGTATTTAGCATAAGATTTCATGGATATAGATTTATTTGCAGTTATTCATCGAAATCATCAAGAACTGCGAAGCTTTATGTAACCTAATGGTTTTCGTAGCCTTCCTTGTATTTCCGTCATTTTTTAGAGCCACAAACATATCATGTAGTGTTTCCTTGTAATATTTGTTGCTAGCAAAGGTATGAAAGTCATTTAGCTCATGCACGTGGTGGAACATGGCCTCGTCATTAGGGCAATCCTACAAGAAAAATATATATTATTAGATATTAGTAATAAAAAATACATCTAGCGTCAGGGAAGCARGCTCTTTGCAGCAGCCAACAGCGTTGCTATCTAAGTTTCCATTGTATACTAGGTCAACGAGAATCGATTTCTTGTAGCATCATTACTCGCTTCACAAATCGTAACCATAGTTGAGATTCTCTTTTGCTATTTAAAAGCATTCACTGGCAATGGAAGCGTTGCCTTCAGATATGAATGTCAAACATTCAATGCATGTAACTTATGTAACTGTAATTGTAAAATCTGCCCGAGTAGTGGAGCGCCCTAATCTAAAAGTAGACATTCTCAAATTCGAGTCCTTTTGGTTCGGGAAACGAAAGTTGACCACTAGTACTCGCGACTCCGTTGCCCGCTTCTTGTAACTTTGTCGCTTGTTCTCGCGACTTTCTTGCTCGCAGAAAAAAAGGTAGTGTGTTGGACATGTGACAAGTCTTATCTAATAGTGGTGCTTGAAGCTCAGGGAATGCCGGCACCATCAGTTAGTTAGAGTTTGTTGTCGATTGTAGTATGTACTTACCCTGGAATACAGCTTGCCATTGCTATCCATCGCGAGGTACAGGTTAACCTTTGGACTGTATATTAAGACTGTATTTATCGATACGGACTGAACTTGCAGCATTGCTGTAAAAAAATGTAAAAAATAATGCTGAAATGTTAGTCTTCGTTGGTGGGAATATCTCAACATAACTACCTAACTTATCTCCACCATTATCAATTACACATCATCATCTATACACCATCATCATCCATCGCCATCATTATTATCCTCATCATTATTATCATCATTATCATCACTGTTATCATTATCACCATCGCCATTATCAAACAACATCACCATCATCATTATCATCATCATCGACATCACTTTCATCATCAATGACATCATATTAATATTATCGTCTGTGTCATCATCTTTCAAAATCATCGTTATCGTCATCATCATCCAACACCATCGTCATAGTCATCATCATAAATATCATTATCATCTCTATTATCATCATCTATCGCCAACAACATCATCATCAACATCATTAATTTTATCATAATCGACATCACTTTCGTCATCAAATGACATATCAATATTATCTGTCATCATCATCCATATTCATCGCCATCATCATCCAGCGCCATCACCATAGTCATCATCAATCATGTCAAATCATCGTCATCATCTCTATCATCATTACCACTGATTACCATCATCATCATCATCATCTACTCCAACCTAGTTTATATGTGTATAACCCTAACAGTCATCGCTCAAGCCTAACGTTTATTGAAGTAATATATCAAAACAGCTAAAAATCATTGAATCAATCCGCCGAAGAAAAAAAAAAACGTTCAGCATCTTTATACAAAGACGACGTCACAGCCACCAACCAATCAGCGAACGAGTTATTTTTAGCCTAGTTGGCTATGTGATGAACCAGTGAAATACTTATTCTATCATTAACCAAGGTACACACCGTATGGACAAGTATAATCAGGCGTTCCTCCCACTGCGCCATTTTCAGCAATTCGTAAAAACAATTGATTTTTACAATAGAGCTTTACGTCGGTCTTACATGTCAGCGGTATCAATGGTGGAGCAGACTCAATAGGGTTTGTCTTGACTTGTGATCTGCTACAACGAGCTAGGATAGGAGAGCTAAGTTTTGTCCCACATGTTTGACGCTTGCGGGCTTCTTCCAACAGCTTTGCAAGAGAGAACTTTTGAGGAGATCCTGACTTGAATGTTGACGCCATCTTGAATTTTGATTTGATGGTGGCCTGAAATTATGGGAAGAAAAATTAAAGACTTTCTCGTGTTTTATCTTGCTTGCATTTTTGTTTGCATTTTTATTCAGCTATTCAACCGAAACCAGTGGCATTTCAAACAACTCATATCGTTCCGTATAGTACGTACATTCCTTACTATACAATGGATCGATGAAAGAAAAGTATACATTTGTACTCCCATTTCGAGTTCGCCTCTGCTCATCAGTCTTAAATTCGATTGTGTGCAATAGCGTTATCCAAATCACCGTTGCAGCTCAGGTCTCCCATCTTGTCCCATATACAACTATAAAGTATCTGTTTTAAAGAGTACTACCAGGATAACGAGGCAATTTCCATTTATTTACACAGGACAGTAAAGAATTGAAGCAATTTGTATTAGATTTGTGATCAGAGTCTTAGATTTAGAGATATTCTATCTAACTTGTTATGTTATTATGCATGTGAGACATAGCAACGGTAACTAAGGAGAGTCGGAACCGTGTTTCATTTTTCCTTAGTTCTGAAAAATTAAAATAACAAACTAATTGAAAACCAAACTGGTTATTCTTGGTATTGAAAATGTCCATTATTTTGTTAATACAGAATTACTATAACAAAGGATTAGAAAACGTGTCCTAATCAGACCGATCCGGCTCAGGAACAACCATCTAAATGACGCAATTCCGGGTTCAGGAAAGCCATCACTTTCCGGCCAACTTTCCAAGTGAAAAAGGACAAAAGGCTTCCCAAAGCATAATATATTGGATTACTTATTATTTTCCATTTGCTATCATTAAGCATGTGTTTTATTTTATATTCCCTGTTTTACCGGTTCTGTGGTGGCACAAAGACTGGTGCAAGTAGGACTGTATATTGTGAATTGACACGAGTCGTCATTGGTTGCTTTTGAAGTACACTGTGTATAAACAGTTTTCAAAGAAGTTTTTTTCTTGTTTTATTATTGTTACCCTCGAGTTGATAATACAAACACCGTCCACGTATGTTGAGCACAAAACGTTTTTTTTTTCTGTGGTCGACAAGGTTGATGTTTTTGAATACGAAATACTTTTTATGCGCGCGCGTCTCGCAGCATTTTCATCCAAGATTGTAGTCTTACAATATCGAAGCTATAGAAATAATTGATATCATGGAATTTGCCATATAATCTAAAGGTTTCTGATATTCATTTCCCATGACTGAAGTGCATGAAGTGTTGTCACGCCAATTCACACTAAGTGGTGTTATTTTGTCTATGGTCACGGTACTTGGACGCTGTGCTAGCTCAATATAGTAGGAACGTGTGAGAAAAAAATATACACTGTGGATCAAGAACCAAGTATTTGTTTCCATTTAATTAAAAAAAAATTAAAGAGAATAAAATAAACAATGTAAAAAGAAAAAAAGAAAAAGAAAAAAAGAAAAAGAAAAAAGAAAAAAGAAACTAAAATGAGAAATCTCTTTGTATTGTTGTTGGTAACAGAACTCATCCCATGCAACTGCAAGTCATTGTAATAACTCACTCAGCTCCATTGCTATCCAAAAACCTTCACTCAGAATGGTCTCTCATAAATAAATCGTGGCATATAAATATTTATCAACCAATTTTTGTAAAGCTACAGTTTAGGTCCTGGTGAATTTTTACGCTAATACCAGTGATGTCCGAAGCGAAATGAAGTTATTAAACCCCTTTAAATCGTTTTAACGTTATAAAGTTAGAATTAATAAAATTCCAGCGGTTACTGATAAATTCGGTGATAGATATCAGAAAAAGTACATATATATTTCTAAGCCGATTGCAATAGAGAGGCTGTAAATAGGCACGTCTTCTTCAAATCTTAAGTAACAAAAACTCATATTAGAAATGAAATAAACCAATACTATTAATCAAATTACTCCAAAATCGAAGCTCAACTGGCTTCTACTTATTTATATTAAGCTACATCACCTAGAAGACGTTTGCTTGACTTACTAAGACTAATGTTTACCTGTTTACGGAGTACGTAACAATAAATGTTCACTTGGCAATACCAGAAATATCAAATGAAACTTCTTCATAAAAGTTTTGAGTGTTGAAGAACAGGTCTTTCGAAGATGAACGAATCTCAGTTGAAGTCAGTACAATGACTGATGTCTTACGCTGGATTGACTGAACGAGTTCTAGACACAGTACTTTTATCCTCGTCTTGAGTTAAGTGATTCTTTTCTTCTCAGTGGGTTGCACGTACTCGCCTTCAATGATTCGGAGCTTGAGCTAGGTCAATATAGTTAAAGCCACGCGTTCAGGTTCACTGAATCTTGGGAAGTTGAGTTTTTATCTCGCCGAGTTTGAACGACGTTTGAACGCTCTTGACGTTTTGACAAGCAACGCAGTCATGAGACTAAATCTCATAGACGTAATCAAAACRAACTCAGATTAAGTTTACTAAATTAATATTTTCCTTCACAAATGACTCTTTAATAGCCAAAGAAGGTTTATTTTGCAAATATTGTCAAATGGAAATATTATTACGTATTGGCAAAGAAAGCTTGCTATTTTCACTCATTGTTAGCAGGATGTTTGGCTCATTTCTCTTTGATAGCCGTTTTTCCCCAGACTTGCTGGAGCCGTGAAAGCTATTAAATTGGGCGTTTTGATATGTTTATGTTTGAAGTACTTAGCTTGAAGAAGTTAAGTGACTATATGACTCAGTTTGAAAGTTGAATATATTGATCACCCTTTTATTTAATTAGATTTGAAAGAAAAACATCATTTTCAATTTATTGTTGAATTAGGATTTGGATTTCGATAACAAAAATAATGACAGAAGTACTACTTTATTTTTCCTTTCCTTTCCATTCCATTCCTTTCTATTCCTTTCTATTCCTTTCCTTTCCTTTCATTTCCTTTCCTTTCCTTTCCTTTCCTTTCCTTTCCTTTTCTGCTCATTATATTTTTTATCCTTAAATATTTTTTCCCTATTCGTTTCTTTTCTTTTCTTTTTCTTCAATTTTCTTCATTTTTTAATATCACTTGACATTATTTGTTTCAATTTGTTTATCTGTTTGCCCTGTCTCTGCGGTTGTATGTCTCTCTGTTTATCTGTCTGTCTGTCTTTCTAATCTGTTTGTTTAATTCTGAATTGTGCCAGCCATTTTACTCCAAATTAAAAGTAAGATTTGGCGAACCTGCACGATTTATCCTAGATATCGCTGCAAAATATACAAACAAACAAACAAAAAATAACAAACAAACAAATAAACAAAAAACATGAAACAAAATTAAACAAGCAAACAAAACAAAACAAAAAAATACAAAAAAATACAAAAAAAGAAGAAGAAGAAAAAAAAAAAAAAAAAGAAGCACAGAAAAAGGAAATTTTCTTACCCTTGTTCGTGTGCAACGTCATCATGCAGTCGCGTTTCCCACGCCCGTTCATGTCTGTTCCGAGAGTGTTCTACGTCAACGCGCTGTAAGCATGCCTTGAGGCTGCACTCTTTAAATTTTTCACGCTTTTTTCTAAGGTATCAAAATAGAAAACCTATAATAAATAAATATCAATATCGCTATAAATACTTTGATGAACGTAGGATTCATACTTAATTCATTTTTATTTTAATTACATTTGACGAATGGTCAAGTCATCCATTTTCAAGACGTTTGTAGAACCAAGGCACACTGGATTTCTAAAGTTTTTTTTTTCCTTTCGATTATTTGAATTAAATTAAACGTATATACTGGTTTACTGCTCCGTCGCTGTTATAATGCTGATGTTTTCTTCCAAAGGTCAAATGGTTTGAATAGCCGATGAGTGTTACTTCTTTAAGGTGGCTGCCTACTTTTGAACGTTCGAATTGAGCCCACGATGTGTGCGAGCTCAAAAACCGCTGAAAAATCTACAAGATTTTATTGAAGAACCATACGCGTTTTGAGCTTCAACAGGGCAAAACCCTCAAATTTTGCACGGGACTCTATATTTTTTAATAGCGCATTTGAAAAAACTCCTAAAAATCTAGGTTATATCAACATTTTAGAAAAAGTTTAAATCAGTAACACATGAAAAAATAGATTTTTGTAGGGATTTTTGTTCGACTTTATGAGATTTTTTAAGAGCACCGAAACTACAAAATATGACAAATCAATGTATCTCTTTGTCTTTTTGTCGAAAATATCCATGTATTATTGTAGAATGATTGACTAGCCTTCATTCATATAGTCTGCAAATAACTATTATCTTATAAATCTTAATTTTTTTCTAATCACTTCCGGTGGCRCAATTTTTACTCCAAAAGCTSGTGCGTAGGCTYCCATTAAATGCTGATTATCTCAAAAACGAGCTCGGGACACCCTATTTTTCTTTCCAGATTTGGAATCAGCATTAAATTTCAATTCGGAAAATCGAAGTTTTAAAAAAAGTTTAAATCAATTTCCAAAAGTAGGCAGTCACCTTAACGGCCGTTGTACTTGACTCTGTTGGTACTAACAACAACAACGCGACCGCGCGATGCTCCTTACGTCTGTAATATTCAACCGTCCTAGAATTAAGCCCCGCGACATTTGGAAAAAAACATCTGCATTATAACAGCGACGGAACACGGACACAAGATAAGTAAACCAGTATAAATTTAATTCAAATAATCGAAACTTTAGACATCCAACCACGTTCGGTGTCCTAGTGCCCTTGGTAGAACGAATCGGTATACCCTCGTGCGTTAATTAACTTTTTTCCCGCTCAGAGCATTACAGCCTTTATATATATATCGGGTTTCGCCGCGAAATAAGACCCTGGGCTGTCTATTATTCAGCTCAGTCACTTTTGAGATGACATTTTAAAACCAAAATATTTCTTCCAAAACAAACATGTCAACAAAAAAACAAAAACAAAAAAGCAAAAAAAAAAACAAACAACAACAACAAAACAAAAAATAACAAAAACAAAACGAAACAAAAAACAAAACAAAACAAACAAAAAACAACGACAACAACAACAACAGCGTGTTCTATTGAATGTCGGCCAAGTTAAACATCAAACCAGGTCAGTACATCAAGGATAGACGCGCCAGTCTGGTTGGCTCATATTAGACTAAAGAGTTCGTGAACATATTGACTTTTCTCTTATCATAGATTGATCCCCCAGGTCCTCTGCTCATACAAAATTTAAAAAAATATATTCAAAGAGTTCAAAACAGACTATTGCAGTGAAATTTTTTTCGCTAACATTTCTAAAGATTTGTAAAAATATCGTACTTTGCATCGGAATATCCAGAAGAATTGTAGCCACTAATTCATAAACCCTTGAAAATTTTATGTATTAGTTAAGTTTTAGCCCAATTGATCTGAGTAACGATTGTCATCCAAATATCACTTTTTTTTAAAGATGCAAAAACTTGATAATTTCTAAAAGCTAAGAGTTATCGATGTAACCACGAAACAAATAGCAATCCAATATTTCAATACCCTGGTCCCAGAGCTTTCTCGTATTTTTTTTTTTCTCTGTAAAATCGCCGCAGCTCGTTGTTGCCGCTTGCGGCGATTTTACAGAGAAAAAAAAATACGAGAAAGCTCTGGGACCAGGGTAATATTTCAATAAATGAATATCATAGTTGTATAAAGATCTCTGGATATGTCGCCATAACGACGCCTTTCAGCTAAACTCATGAATTAAAGCACTAGTAGATAAGAACATACGGATACGCAGCCGGCCTACTCTACGTCTTCCGGTGAATGCGGCAGTCAAGAGATCGTGAAGATAGATATTAGATACGCTTGTGATTTTTTCAATGTGTATCTTAGTGGTAAATGTGAATGGAGTTTAAATTTAGCTGCGTGTAAAGGATAGGTTTTAAAAAAATTCCCTTCGCAATTGCAAAATTTAACTCCTCTTCGGCTTGGGAAAATGTTTTCCCATTTCAGACCACGTTTCATTCCCTTGAGAATAAGATTCTTTGTTTGAGCTGTATCCATATTCATGTGTCTTCTCATGTGCAACCGAGCGCAAACCTTAAACAAAGAAATGATACTCTAGGGAATGACATGGGGTCTGAAATGGGAAAACATTACGTCAGAGCCGAGGAGGTCTATTGGATCACTGGCTATTAACAAAACGAGGCAGGCAGATATTCTGGCTATCTAGAATTGCACAAACGAGATCTTAGCTGAGGATTATGGATAGATATATTAACAGCGCTTCTTAATCACAAGCGCAAGATGGTACTCCGTTGGACGTCAATCAAGGCGTTTCCATGACATTCCATAGGCACGTGCACTTTGAAACATTGTATTTTCCGACAGTGCTATGGAAACACTTTGATTAGCGACTACCAAAAATCTATTTTTGTTGCGACATAAAATTATCGTCAATTTCAAGCGTGTGATTGAGAAGCGCTGTAAAGCATTCTTCCGATAGTTCCAATAGACGATTTTCGTACCCACTAGCTGTATGTTTTATGGTCTAAGCGGAGATCCACTACAACCATAGCCGACATATGTTGTGTTTATTGTTAAACTGAAAATATTTCTCATTTATGAAGTCGTGCAAACATTAGCCGAGGAATGTTTTCCATAACGGGTCTCTTAGGATAATCTGTTCGAAAAACAGCCGGTCCATCATGGCCGGGATACTACAGAATCAGATAGCGTTAGTTTACTTGCCTCTCACCTCTTGGGTCTCGTGTTTGATTTCTACACTCCGTATCTCACGTGGGTAGAGTTTGTTTAGGCTCTCTGGCTCTTGATTCCAAGTTTTCCTTCCTCCACAAAGCCTAACAATAGTTTCCAATTTGATCTGTGAGTTAGCCTTCCCTGACCTCGATCAGCTCAGAGACGCAGTACAGTGTTTTAGGGTAACGATAACAGTTGTAGATGACAACAGCGCGGAAACAGAGAAACGTGAAATCACTCTTAAGCAAACTTGATTTTATCACATCCATAAAGGTTGAATTAACATTTCGACCAACTGAAAGCAACCCCATGTAGTATCCTGCTATTGTGCACTATAGACACAGATATCAATAATGTACTTTCCCACCTGGAATTCTCAGCTTTTTTCCCAGTGTTAATGTTTCTATCAATTACCTTGGGATTGATATTTATATCTGGGGAGCTAAGTTTTGCTATTTGGAAATCAAGGGTGGCGAGCCGGTAGCTTACTCATGGTTTGAATCAATCTTTCCCTTGATTCGAGGACTGTCCTCCGTGAGTTTTTCTACTGTTTACTCTGACCTACCAATTCCAATTTGATTCATGCAGTGAGTTAGCTGTGCTCCGACTTTGATCAGCCCAGAGGTTTTTTAAAGGCATAGATAGAAATTGAGGGAAGGAAGGATCTCTATTATTAATGAATATTCTGGGAACGTTTGTTCTTCAGACAGTTAATTGTCCATTATTAACAACACGATTTATCATGATCTATGACTTAAACATTAAACCTTAAAGGTTGTTTCTGGACGTCCTGCAACAAATGTATTTTGTACGAAAACACTACCTTACTGATAGAATGTATTTTTTGTATATATTTTAAATATAGGTGTCTTGAAAAATAATGAAGAAAGTCAAATCCCGTGAATTGATTATCGTGAATTGAATGGGTAGAACTGTGGTGTAATAATGTTAGAATGTTGATCATCACAGTGAATATGTGATCTATAAGCGAACGCTGTAAAGAAAGACCTGAAAAAATGATTTCAGGCTTCAACGGGAATCGTATTGATTAACATTGACTTGTCACTGTTAAATCTTGTAGGTAATGCTTGACATCCCACTGAAAACTTGTTCTTATATTTATTAATAAGGAGCCCAATGATATCCAACTTTTATCTCGGGCCTACTGAGGAAATAGACTTTCATGAATGCATGAAATATAAAGAGTACTCTAGAGAAATGTCTCAACAGCTGACTTTGATCGAGACCAAAATGAAAACGTTTTCGTACTAATAAAAGCAATGCGCACGATACCATTGCGCAATCATCCAGCTCTACTTTGACCACGTTTTATGGATAATAAATGAACAGTGCCCCAAATCTGAGACAAAAACATTCGACACACACACTCACAAGACCGACGAAATAATACAAAAGTCGACGCGTTTTAATCAGTTTTTTAATCAACAGTTTTACACAACACTTTTGCATTTGTCTTCCTGGCGTAATCGTCGCGAGAATTTAAATCCGGCAAATTGACAAAGTCTATATTTTTGTTTCGTCAATATAAGGGTACAGGGATTATTCATTTCGGAAATTAAAGCTCAAAAACTGCGCAGTTTGTTTGAGTTTTCTAATCACTTTGCTTTAAAAATCACCATGGGGTTTTCCAGTCAAACAAATTTCAAATCGGAAAAATCCAGAAACTCGCCGTTGAAAGCCAATTAGCAGGTTGCTGAGATTATGGATAAAAATTGTCCGGCGCTTCAATATTTTATGAGACCATAAGGTTTGATTCCCGAGACAAAGGTGTTGTCATTTAGAGAGAGCCAGACTATTTGATGGAGCGAAAACTACTTACAATGAATATATATTCTGGTGCAAAATAATCTTGTTTTTTTCTTTCAGTGACTAAATGAGGAAACAAAATCGTCTGTCTTAGACATGCACCCTGGTACTTCTATTTAAAATCATTTTAGATTATACATCGAAACGTAAGCTGTTCATTACACATTTATATATACGTACATCTGTGACTTAAACCTGTTAGAATATATAATATATCAGATATATGATGAGTATACTTTAGACAGTAAAATTTAACTGATTCGTAATATACATATATATATATATATATGCACACACACGGCGGCAAAGATTTCGCTACTACGTTTTAAGTTTAGTTGTATTAAAAATTGACACTGAAGTATTGCTAGATAAATAAATATAGAGATACTATTCCTTCTGCTGTGATTAATAAAGGGTTTTTGCGACTCACCAGTTTTAATGCTCACAGTTCTCTTCTAGGCAGCCGAGCGATAATGAAAAGGCGATTCAAAAGTACACCTGCAAGTTATTTTTGGCATTTTACTCCCGTTTGAATCAGCATTGATAATTCTAAACAATTGTCGTCTGGAGTTCTTCCTCGTGGTAACCTACGACTTTTGTTCCATTTTATCTTAAGGCGATAAATGATATGTATACAGAAGATGAAAACACGCATGAAAACGCTACAGACGATGAAAAGACTAAGTTGACATAACGATTGTAGTAGATAAAAAGGGTCTTTTGTTTTGATTCAGTATTTCTAATTTTTACGTTTCGATTAGTTTCCATTTTGTTGTACTTTTTTAAGACACTACTGAGATGAAGTCTATCAACGACTGTCAGCTATTCAGTATAACAATGTATTAGATTTTAATTTTCGTCTTTCACAATTCTAATAAATTTGGTATATTTGCGGTCCCCCCCCCCCCCCCCCAAGCTATAGAACAAGTTTTAAAAATTAAATGTACTATGAAATATACTGTCTAAAACCGTCCAAACTGGCTACAATAACCATCCACAATGTAAATTTACACCATGATCCAAGGCCATTCACACTGTCACCTTACATTTTTCCAATACCATCTACACTGTCACCTTACAACCATCAAAACACCATCCCCACTGTCGACTCACAACTATCCAACACCATCCCTACTGTCACCTTACAACCATTCAACACCATCCAAACTCTCATCTTACAGCTACTTTATCCAACACTCTCACTTTGAAACCATCAAAACACCATCCACACTGACACCTTACAAACATTCAACACCATCCACACTGACACCTTACAACTATCCAACACCATCCACACATCCAACACCATCCACACATCCAACACCATCCACACATCCAACACCATCCACACATCCAACACCATCCACACATCCAACACCATCCACACTGTCACCTTACAACTATCCAACATCATCCACACTGACACCTTACAACTATCCAACATCATCCACACTGTCACCTTACAACTATCCA